AGGCCTGTAGAGTTTATAACTGTTTAGACCAGACTGATGACTAAATCCACAAAAAAGAGAGATTATGAAAAAGGAGGTAGACTTTGTGTTAAAACATAACTTAGCTGAGCCTAGTACCTCCCCCTGGGCTTCACCTTGCCTTCTCATTCCAAAACCCGATAGCACTTTTCGTTTCTGTACCGATTATCGTAAAGTGAACCAGGTCACTGTCTCAGACTCCTACCCTTTACCTTTGATTGAAGATATAATAGACAGCATAGGCTGTGCCAAATTTATATCCACCGTGGACTTATTGAAAGGATATTATCAAGTGGGACTCACGGATAGGGCAAAAATAATCTCGGCATTTATAACTCCATTTGGTCTTTTTCAATATTTGGTTATGGCGTTTGGCTTTTCCAATGCTCCGGCCACATTCCAGAGGGCCATCAACTACCTAATTCAGGACCTAGGTGGGACGTTCGCCTACCTGGATGACCTGGTGGTGGTGTCGGACGGCTGGGACGAACATCTGGTGCGTTTGGAGATACTGTTCGCACGACTGCAAGAGACTGGATTCACCATAAACCTGGCTAAATCTGCTTTTGGCCGGGCCTCGATAACTTACCTGGGACATATCGTTGGGCATGGTATGGTCAGACCCAAGGACGCAAACGTTAAAGCCATCTTGTCCTTCCCCACTCCAAGGACGAGGAAGGAACTCGTGCGCTTCCTGGGGATGTGCTGCTACTACCGTCGGTTCTGCAGTAACTTCTCCAGCGTGGCCGGACCCCTCACAGACCTTACCAGTTCTGCGGTCCCTTACATCTGGAACCAGAGGTGCGACCAGTCTTTCCACCGCCTCAAAGCCTTCCTTGCCTCCAAGCCTGTAGTCCACCCCCTTGACTACACCTTGCCCTTCCATCTGCAAATCGACGCTAGTGGTGTCGGAGTTGGGGCTGTGCTCCTACAACCCGACCCAACCACTGATGTCCTTCACCCTGTGGCATACTACTCCGCCAAGTTGAAAAAACATCAGACCAACTACTCGACCATAGAGAAGGAGGCCCTGGCTCTGGTGTTGGCAATAAAGAAGTTTGAATGTTACCTCCAGTCTTGCCCAGAAACAACCCTAGTCTTCACCGACCATAACCCACTCACGTTCATCCAAACCAACAAGACCTCCAACCAGCGAATCCTCCGCTGGGCTCTCCTCACCCAGCCCTATAATCTACAAGTCCGGCACATAAAGTGGGTGGACAACCTGATTGCGGACTACTTATCCCGAGCTCCAGTGGAAATGCAGCAGCTACTCTCCAGACGCACCAGGTGATCACCTCCTTCGCGCCCGCGCTACGGAGGTCTTTGGAGGGGGGGTGTGTTACGAACCCCTCCACCAATTGTCATGATCTACCTACCCAGCACTACGAACCACGCCATCTATTGTCCTGATCTACCTACCCAGCACCACGAGCAACGCCATCTAGGGACGAGACACGAGTATGACTCGTCTTAGTTACCACTCCGGGGTTTCCCTTCTCCATATCCTGGTTGTTGCGTCACTTCCTCCAAGTCTTTTTGTCAGCTCGAGTTCGAGGAGAGAACACTACACTCTGGGAAGTGACCACAGGATCACCTATCCTCTAAACCTACAGCACAGTGACTACCTACCGTCTTCTACAATACTCAGCCTTACTCGTCAGCCATCTCAGCTCCTCACTTAAGTATTTGTAATCTTGTATTGTCTCTCCCACCTCCACCTTGCTTCACGATTATTGTATGTTGTATAAATATGTATATACTGTTAATGCTTAGGTTAAGTATGGTTAAGGGTAATTTATAGGAAGCTGAATATTTTGTTAAGGAATTTATGGTACTTTATTATACACAACGAAAACTCGCATCCTTTGTCTACCCTTTTATAGTCCGATTGTCTTTTTTTTTTATTGTTGTTACCTGTTGGGATCTGGGTAGACTTTTAACTATATTCTAAATCCCCAACTCGTAACAACTACCCATAAAAAATGATTTATATATAATTTAGGAACTTCAGTTTATTTATAGCTCGGAACATTCCTCTCATCTTTAACACAAGAAGTAAAAAAGACTTTGTAAGTTATGTACTTAAACCAAATAATGTGCTACTAATTATGATAAATGTCAATTGATGAGAATTTATTTATGATAATTTTATATATTTTACCAACTTCAACGTTCACTTCTAGAGGATTTTATTCTATTTATCACAAGAAGTAAAACATAATTCTACTTCTGTCGATTTAAGTTATGAGGACAGATAGAATCTTTTGAATCATTCTAAAAGAGAGACTCATGGCTTTAAGTAAAGAATACCGCGCTTTATGGAGATACTGCTTTACCTTGGAGTGACTGTCATGAACACTGCACACGTGGGGTCAACACGCCGAGGCCTCACTGTTTACCTGCATCACTTATCACAACAAAACACCTGTCATTTACACGGTGGAGGTGCGGCTCTCTCTCCTGCAACCTTAATAACAACACCAACAACAGTAACAATAATATTTAATAATGAATAATAATAATAATAATAGCAACAACAACAACAACAACAATAATATTAATAATAAATACGATGAAAATAAAAACCCATTGTTATATTAAGTGAAAAGGAATACTGTACACTTAACCATAACACTGACGAGAGAATACAGAGACAACTGTGAACCACTCCCGGAGTCAACCCACAGGTCACACATAAACACACTGTTTGACGGGAAATATTGACCGTAACTTAAAATCTAGCTGAGCAACATGACTTTGTATTAGTCATCACAAATACTTTTTACATAACACAAGATCTGGAAAAAAAAAATAGAGTTCCATTTTACAGATTTTACACAGTTTTAACATTTAGAACAACTTAACTTACAGAAACTTGTTGGATTTTGGAACGTCAAGAGAAATGGAGACGAGATAAAATAATATTTGTTATCACCAGGTAACGGGAGACGATGACAACACGATAACTCATTGTTGTAGATCTTTTAAACCGGTGGATTTTTTTTCTTCTGAACATCTTATGAAACACACACAAAAAATAGCGAACAATGTTAATATATACAACGTTATGTAGGAGACTATAGGGTGGGGTTGAGAGGGGAGGGCTGGGGTGGGGTTGAGTGGGGTGGGGTGGGGTGAGGAGAGTCTTGGAGGGATGTAAGCCACAATCCTCCCACCACGTCTGATCCAGAACTTTTTTTTTCCTTTAAACACACAAAAAAACGATTCTCTTTTTATCCATCCGTTCATCATTAGTGACTGTAAGAGTATCTAACTAAACCAGTTCCAGGCATTTACACGGGGGTTCCCAACCTGGTGCTCGCGACCACGGTTTTAAGCATTGTAGAAGAACACTGTCAGACTATCAGGGGACACAGTGGTGCTTGTGAGGAACAGACTGGGAACCCCTGTATTAGAGTGACGTTTAAGC